GAAACAAAATTAACTTACCCCGATAAATCGGTCACGAGCGCTTGACTTGTGCTGTAAAAACAATACGACCCGAAGGCAGAATGCGAACTGGCGGCAGCAACGCATAGCGGATGCTGGTTCCCAGGGGGCGGGTCACCTTACCAGAAACCGGTTTCGGGACCCCGAATCTGGTGGACTGTAAATCAGAGCGGCGGCAGTGCCCGCCCCTGTAATTGAAAGGCCCTGAAACTTGCTTTCCGGGGCAAAGTGCCCCGGACACTGAGTTTGGGATTTACTGTGTCGTTGTGATGGGTTTACGAGTAATACCTGTAAACAAGGTAGCTGTACGCCAGACAGTGGCTTGTCGTCACAGGCTTCGCGATACTTCGACTGCGATACTGCGGTGCTGCCCTGCCATAGGCAGACTCTCTCGCCACACATCACACTGAGAGACCTGATCGCACGTGAAAAACGGGCCGTCGACATTTGCGATTTTTCGATTTTAACAACAGAATAGCAAGCAAATGTTGCGTTTTTGGGCACGAAGTAGCCTTATAGTATCCCCCAGGATTCAGCCTCGCTGGGATTTGATCGCGTGGCCCCCTTATGCAAGTCGAAACCTCTCTATACGATTTTGATGAAATTTTGCAGACTGGTAGAATTCTGAGACGTGATTTCAATTCTGGAATATGGTTGAAATCTTAGCGATAAATTTTGAGAAAATTGCCGTCAAAATCACTGTTTCCATAGCAAAGCTCGACTCGTCAACGAAAAGGGAAGAGAGAGGGGGAAGCCGAGCGAAACCGAACCAATAGCATGGTTCCTTTTCGCTTCTGTACAGGTTAACCCAAAAACGGTCGCATCTTTGAAAAAGGACGTTCGAATAAAAAACTTTCCGCGACCGTGATAGAACAGATGTAACAATAGCACAAGAGGATTTTTTTAGACGCAGTCTTTTCATTGGCACTGCCTGATGAAAATTTTTAATGGGAATGTCTTTGCTCATGCGCGGAACAACACAGTCATACCAACATGGAAACCTACACTCATTGTGAGTTTTGTGTTTGTTTCATTTTCAATGTGTATTTTCTACCACAAAATTAATCTGTTTAAATTATGACATTATATCTGAATATATTTTGAGGACACATGTTGAAGAAAAGATTTAAAAATATTGAAAAAATAGAATAATTTTTTCATTTATCAACTCCTTACTGAATCAATAAAACAAAATTATATTTCTTAGCTCTGTCTTAGCTCTAGTTTTTGTTTGATGGTTCTTTTCATTCAGTTAGCACGATGACCACATCGCTCCACCTCGCGACTTTTAGTGCTCATGTTCCTCGAACAAGACTCACCTGCGATTCGAAACCATCCCTACTGAGTTTATAAAGCTTGTCAAATAGGGTGGTCCGAAAAAACACTTTTTTCTCTGATCGGTAACGGGTACCTGGCAAAAGTGGCCACTTGACATCAGAAACACACCTGCAAATTTTTTTTCCGATCGGACAATATCTTCGGTTCCCACTTTGAGGGGGAAGTTTCGGATTAATAGGTAAATTTAGGAAATTTGCAAAACGGACTCGGATGCGCTGCTGATGCGTTCGGATGGTCACTGGGGAAGAAAAAGACACCTTATGTACTTTAAACAGCATATCGAGCTTCATATGTGGCCCTACTTCAATACCCAGGGACCAGAAGTACGGCCGAAATTCCGTGTTTTGAGTAAAATCAACACTTTTGCTTCCACAAGTTGTGTGTTCGTGGTGTGTGATGTTTCAGCACTCGGACACTCTCATTCCAGAAGGTGACATCACGTTGAAACGAACGTGACAAAATGTCATGTTCGTTTGGGCGTTGTGGTCACGTTCGTTTGACGGAAAAAGCGGATTTCTTGCCAATTCACACCCAAACGAATGTGACAAAATGCTCAAATGACGTAAATTTTGTCACGTTCGTTTCAACGTGATGTCACGTTCCTCGATAGAAGTGTCTGAGTGCTGAACATCGAACACAACAACGTGTGGAAGCAAAAGTGTTGATTTACGCAAAACACGGAATTTCAGCTGAACTTCCAGTCCCTGGGTATTGTAGTAGGGCCACAAATGAAGCTCGATATGGTGTCCAAAGTACATAAGGTGTGTTTTTTCTTCCCGAGTGACCATCCGAACGCATCAGCAGCGCATCCGAGTCCGTTTTTCAAATTGCCTAATTTCACCTATTAATCCGAAACTTCCCCCTCAAAGTGGGAACCGAAGAATTGTCCGATCGAAAAAAATTTGCAGGTGTGTTTCTGATGTCAAGTGGCCACTTTTGCCAGTACCCGTTTGCCAGGTAACAGCAGCCCGGAGTAGACATACGACCAAATTTTGTCCAGATTATGTTGACATGATTGCCTACAATTTAAACCTCGTTCGCGAGAACCCGAGTTCTAACCGAGGTTTCTGGGGTTTTTTACAAACTTTATAAAACTTGTTAAATTTAGAGGTTTTCCTTTGGTTCTACATAATCCTGGCGAGTCTCTGATTGCCTTCGTGCGTTCCTGTGAGCTGCCAAGGCCTCCTACACGGTAAAAACGGAACCTGGTTTTCCCAGGAACTTTTTGAAATTCCAGGAGCTGGTGACTTTTTCCAGGAGGGCTCCTGGTTTTACCCCCTCGGTCCCAGGAGCCTCCTGGGAATCCCAAACATTTCCCAGGAGCCGCCTGGAGGTCGCGACGCGAGTCTGCGTCTTCCAGGCGGCTCCTGGGAAAAAATTGCGTTCCCAGAAGGCTCCTGGGAATATCTCAGCCGGCGTCCTGGGCGCTTCTGAGCGCCTGTGGAAGCAGACCAGCAGCCCGCACGGCACGCTAGTGTCACGGGATGGCCTACCCTCCTGGCAACAGGGTTATGTGCGGGGGGGGGGGGGGGGGGGTAACAGGTGGATGAAAAATTGTCAAATGTGCCTCTAGTGTAAATTACCGCGTCTCGTAGCAAGTAAGCGGTTGCCTTAGAAAAAGAAGGTAAAAAAAGGAAAAAAAAAGATCTTGTTTTCTCCGCTATGGATTGTGTTTGTGAACAACACAGGTAATCTGCCGAGTGTCGAACACGACTCAGGTGGAATGCCCGGAAACGCGCAGCAGTGTCAAGCTTTGCGCGCGGCGGCGGAACCCACCAGTGTAGGGACAACGACAACGGTGCGTCCCGGCGCCAGTGCAGTGCCGACTGTTTTTAGTACTTTTTTCACTTGACTGAATTTGTTCGCACGTTTTCTTTACCGCTTTTACTGACTTCGTTCTTCGCGTTCCGAACTGCGTTCTGGTCGTAAAGGAATAACGCTTGCTTTGGTTTAAACTTTTCATCTTTGGCTGTAGCCTAACCTCCTAACCTCTCACTTGTAGTTGTCTCTTTGTTGTTTTGCCTTCTGCCACGGCATTTCTATGCAGTGTGTGTCCGAATAGATTCAAAACGTTCAAAGGATTTTCGGAAAGTTTAAGCTCAGCCCCATAGTTTGATCATAATATCTGTTGTGAACGCCAGGAGTTGCCCTCAGTAGCCTCAATCCTTGCAAACATTAGTGTTAGTCTTTGGATGCGATTTTGTTTGGGAAATGCGAATGCTGGCTATCACTCCATTTCCTTGTTTTCACATTTGACTTGTTGCTTTGAACATAGTTTGCTGAGCTGTCATATGTACACAGCATTTCACCGATTACTTGTTTCATTGCTTTGTGTTTATGTTTGTGTGTGCCTAACATATTGTGATGAATGGTTTATTTGGTTTCAGGGCTGAATTGATATCCATTGACACCATTAAGCTGCTTCGAACTCCTGCGGCACAGGTTCCTAGTTTCTCGCTTCAATCTCCTTCGACCTAGTTGGATGTGAGTACCTCTTTATTTTCATCCATCCTGCAAAGTGTGAGTGAAGGTGAGGGAAGTTGGAACACCCAAAACAGTTTTTGTTTGCCATCGAATTTAACTCTTGATACAAACATACAAGAGCGTTAGACGTCCACCTATTTGAAAGACTAAATTCCGTTCTTCGCCCTGCATAGGATTGAACAAAGAGCGATCCCATTTCCATTGGTTGATTGGGGCATTGACGTGAAAAAGTGTATGTAGCTAAGCATTCCCTCCTAACTTGATATTTGTCATTCACTCCCTAGGTCCAAATATTTAGAATGCATCAACCAATCCTTACAATTTATTTTCTATACTTGACAATTCTTGAATTGCTAATGCAATGTTCCTGTATTTTAACAATTGCTGTGCAATATTGATTAAATTAACTCAGCTTATCATTTTTAGTTCAGAAGTCAAGAGATGATTAATTTATGTGTGTTGATGAGTGCATTCTGGTTGTTTGACATAGTTTTAGCATTGGTAATACCAGTGGTCTCATTTTGAGACCGAGATTTTGATGATAGGTTGAGCCATTTCAAATATTTGGATCCTGCGAGTCGCTGATGACTGTCATTCGTATGGAATGTTTTTGTTCTGTAGAATGTTTCTTGTCAATCCACTGTCAATCAACTGTTACACGATTGTTGGGGAAATGGAATTGCTTGTGCTATGCATCGGTGCTGAATGATCAAAATAATTTTTTGAGTATTTTTTTATAGTGCAGGGTTATGTTTAGAATGGCAGCGTTTTCATCCTACCCTTAGAAAGGTCCATTCAGCTTTGGTATAATACCAGCTTGTTTGTAGTTCTTACTTCTTTTCTATGTTTTTGTTTTGTGTGGTTGATTTTTGCCTTTTGTTCTATCTTATATCTAATTGACTTTGAATAATGCTCTTCTTTAGCTTCTTATTGTATCAAGTTGCTTTATCATATTGTGATGATTGTTTCAGGGCTTTGTTGATTCTCTGTTGACACCATTGGCTGCTTCAAGCTCCTGCAGCACGGTTCTGGCTTTTTGTTTCAACTCCTTTTTTATCAAGTACGAGTCCCTGTTTTGATGTTCTTTTATGTGAACTTTATCATGCATGACGTTTAGTTGATATGAGATTTTCGTTTGGTTACAGGTTCATTGTCTACAATGGGGTCTCTGCCCCACTCTGTCCAGATCACAAGTTGCGAGGAGTTGAGGGACTACCTGCTGCTGCAGTCCGGAATAAGGGAAGAAACAGCCCTCTACCTTTTTGGTTGGTGTTTATCTCTAAACTTCAGGTTTTTTGGTGTTGTTTGTAATGTTGCATGTTATATGGTTTGCTTTTTTTTTTTGTTGGCCATAGCATAGTTACGATGACCACATCGCTCCACCTCGCGATTTTTAGTGCTCATGTTCCTGAACAAGACTCACCTGCGATTCGAAACCATCCCTACTGAGTTTTAAAGCTTGTCAAATAGGGTGGTCCGAAAAAACACTTTTTTCTCTGATCGGAAACGGGTACCTGGCAAAAGTGGCCACTTGACATCAGAAACACACCTGCAAAATTTTTTTCCGATCGGACAATATCTTCGGTTCCCACTTTGAGGGGGAAGTTTCGGATTAATAGGTAAATTTAGGAAATTTGCAAAACGGACTCGGATGCGCTGCTGATGCGTTCGGATGGTCACTGGGGAAGAAAAAGACACCTTATGTACTTTAAACAGCATATCGAGCTTCATATGTGGCCCTACTACAATACCCAGGGACCAGAAGTTCGGCCGAAATTCCGTGTTTTGAGTAAAATCAACACTTTTGCTTCCACAAGTTGTGTGTTCGTGGTGTGTGATGTTTCAGCACTCGGACACTCTCATTCCAGGAAGGTGACATCACGTTGAAACGAACGTGACAAAATGTCATGTTCGTTTGAGCGTTGTGTCACGTTCGTTTGATGTGAAAAAGCTGATTTCTTGCCAATTCACACCCAAACGAATGTGACAAAATGCTCAAATGAACGTAAAATTTTGTCACGTTCGTTTCAACGTGATGTCACGTTCCTCGAATAGAAGTGTCTGAGTGCTAAAACATCGAACACACAACGTGTGGAAGCAAAAGTGTTGATTTTACGCAAAACACGGAATTTCAGCTGAACTTCCAGTCCCTGGGTATTGTAGTAGGGCCACAAATGAAGCTCGATATGGTGTCCAAAGTACATAAGGTGTGTTTTTCTTCCCGAGTGACCATCCGAACGCATCAGCAGCGCATCCGAGTCCGTTTTGCAAATTGCCTAATTTCACCTATTAATCCGAAACTTCCCCCTCAAAGTGGGAACCGAAGATATTGTCCGATCGGAAAAAAAATTTGCAGGTGTGTTTCTGATGTCAAGTGGCCACTTTTGCCAGGTACCCGTTTGCCAGGTAACAGGCACCCCGGGGAGTAGACATAACGGAACCAATTTTGTCCAGATTATGTTGACATGATTGCCTACAGTTTTAAACCTCGTTCGGACGAGAACCGAGTTCTAACCGAGGTTTCTGGGGGTTTTTACAAACTTTATAAAACTTGTTAAAATTTAGAGGTTTTCCTTTGGTTCTACATAATCCTGGCGAGTCTCTGATTGCCTTCGTCGTTTCCTGTGAGCTGCCAAGGCCTCCTACACGGTAAAAACGGAACCGGGTTTTCCCAGGAACTTTTTGAAATTTCCAGGAGCTGGTGACTTTTTCCAGGAGGGCTCCTGGGTTACCCCAGCTCGGTCCCAGGAGCCTCCTGGGAATCCCAAACATTTCCCAGGAGCCGCCTGGGGGTCGCGACGCGAGTCTGCGTCTTCCAGGCGGCTCCGGGGAAAAAAAATTGCGTTCCCAGGAAGGCTCCTGGGAATATCTCAGCCGGCGTCCTGGGCGCTTCTGAGCGCCTGTGGAAGCAGACCGGGCAGCCCGCACGGCACGCTAGTGTCACGGGATGGCCTACCCTCCTGGCAACGGGGGTTATGGTGGGGGGGGGGGGGGGGGGGGGGGGGGTAACAGGTGTTGGATGAAAAATGTGTCAAATGTGCCTCTAGTGAAAATTTAAACGCGTCTCGTAGCAAGTAAGCGGTTGCCTTAGAAAAAGAAGGTAAAAAAAAGGAAAAAAAAGATCTTGTTTCTCCGCTATGGATTGTGTTTGTGAACAACACAGGTAATCTGCCGAGTGTCGAACACGACTCAGGTGGAATGCCCGGAAACGCGCAGCAGTGTCAAGCTTTGCGCGGCGGCGGCGGCAACCAACCAGTGTAGTGGACAACGACAACGGTGCGTCCCGGCGCCAGTGCAGTGCCGACTGTTTTAGTACTTTTTTCACTTGACTGAATTTGTTCGCACGTTTTCTTTACCGCTTTTACTGACTTCGTTCTTCGCGTTCCGAACTGCGTTCTGGTCGTAAAGGAATAACGCTTGCTTTGGTTTAAACTTTTCATCTTTGGCTGTAGCCTAACCTCCTAACCTCTCACTTGTAGTTGTCTCTTTGTTGTTTTGCCTTCTGCCACGGCATTTCTATGCAGTAGTGTGTCCGAATAGATTCAAAACGTTCAAAAGGATTTTCGGAAAGTTAAAGCTCAGCCCCATAGTTTGATCATAAATATCTGTTGTGAACGCCAGGAGTTGCCCTCAGTAGCCTCAATCCTTGGCAAACATTAGTGTTAGTCTTTGGATGCGATTTTGTTTGGGAAATGCGAATGCCTGGCTATCACTCCATTTCCTTGTTTTCACATTTGACTTGTTGCTTTGAACATAGTTTGCTGAGCTGTCATATGTACACAGCATTTCACCGATTACTTGTTTCATTGCTTTGTGTTTATGTTTGTGTGTGCCTAACATATTGTGATGAATGGTTTATTTGTTTCAGGGCTGAATTGATATCCATTGACACCATTAAGCTGCTTCGAACTCCTGCGGCACAGGTTCCTGGTTTCTCGCTTCAATCTCCCTTCGACCTAGTTGGATGTGAGTACCTCTTTATTTTCATCCATCCTGCAAAGTGTGAGTGAAGGTGAGGGAAGTTGGAACACCCAAAACAGTTTTTGTTTGCCATCGAATTTAACTCTTGATACAAACATACAAGAGCGTTAGACGTCCACCTATTTGAAAGACTAAATTCCGTTCTTCGCCCTGCATAGGATTGAACAAAGAGCGATCCCATTTCCATTGGTTGATTGGGGCATTGACGTGAAAAAGTGTATGTAGCTAAAGCATTCCCTCCTAACTTGATATTTGTCATTCACTCCCTAGGTCCAAATATTTAGAATGCATCAACCAATCCTTACAATTTATTTTCTATACTTGACAATTCTTGAATTGCTAATGCAATGTTCCTGTATTTTAACAATTGCTGTGCAATATTGATTAAATTAACTCAGCTTATCATTTTTAGTTCAGAAGTCAAGAAAGATGATTAATTTATGTGTGTTGATGAGTGCATTCTGGTTGTTTGACATAGTTTTAGCATTGGTAATACCAGTGGTCTCATTTTGAGACCGAGAATTTTGATGATAGGTTGAGCCATTTCAAATATTTGGATCCTGCGAGTCGCTGATGACTGTCATTCGTATGGAATGTTTTTGTTCTGTAGAATGTTTCTTGTCAATCCACTGTCAATCAACTGTTACACGATTGTTGGGGGGAAATGGAATTGCTTGTGCTATGCATCGGTGCTGAATGATCAAAATAATTTTTTGAGTATTGTTTTTATAGTGCAGGGGTATGTTTAGAATGGCAGCGTTTTCATCCTACCCTTAGAAAGGTCCATTCAGCTTTGGTATAATACCAGCTTGTTTGTAGTTCTTACTTCTTTTTCTATGTTTTTGTTTTGTGTGGTTGATTTTTGCCTTTTGTTCTATCTTATATCTAAATTGACTTTGAATAATGCTCTTCTTTAGCTTCTTATTGTATCAAGTTGCTTTATCATATTGTGATGATTTGTTTCAGGGCTTTGTTGATTCTCTGTTGACACCATTTGGCTGCTTCAAGCTCCTGCAGCACTGGTTCTGGCTTTTTGTTTCAACCTCCTTTTTTATCAAGTACGAGTCCCTGTTTTGATGTTCTTTTATGTGAACTTTATCATGCATGACGTTTAGTTGCATATGAGATTTTCGTTTGGTTACAGGTTCATTGTCTACAATGGGGTCTCTGCCCCACTCTGTCCAGATCACAAGTTGCGAGGAGTTGAGGGACTACCTGCTGCTGCAGTCCGGAATAAGGGAAGAAACAGCCCTCTACCTTTTTGGTTGGTGTTTATCTCTAAACTTCAGGTTTTTTGGTGTTGTGTTGTAATGTTGCATGTTATATGGTTTGCTTTTTTTTTTTGTTGGCCATAGCATAGTTACTTGTATGTGGAGGCTCAAAAATGGAAGTGGAGGAAGTTGAGTTAATTAATTCTTCTGATGAGGAGGAAGATGATGATATGGTTGCCCTTGAACTTCTTCCAAATGGAAGAAGGGACATGCGCCATGCAGCCATCAATATGGTGGTGTCAATGAGAGGGGTTGCTGCAATGACTCGTGTGGGGGTCCGGAGAGCAATGTCAGGTGCTGACCTTGTCCTTAGGGTCAACAACCTTTCCCTGAAGCAGGATGTTACTGCATATTTGGATAGAACGGGGCAAAGGAATCATCCTAGGGCAGTAGACCTTCTACGTAAATTTGATAACGTAGACCCCTTTCATGGTATCAAGTCCAATCAAGGTCAGATATCAGGCATCAAGAAATATTATGATTTTATTGCACCATCGACATTTGGTGTTGGTAACCGCCTTGATCAAAGGCTTGTTGGTGAAGGGGGTGCATATGGTATGGTGGAAGTGCCAAATACTTTTGAGTTTTGCTCAGTAATTGAGTTTCTGAAAATGTTGCTCAGAAAACCAGAAGTTATGGATTATGTCAGAAACCGTCGTCCATCAGAGAATGGTATGCTGGAATCTTACATGGATGGATCAGAATTTCGTGAGCATCCATTCTTCCAAAACTTTCCTGATGCTTTTCAGCTGGTACTTTATGGAGACGGAGTTGATCCTGCTAGGATGGCAGGACCAAAGAGTGGTTTACATGAGATGTATTGTTTCTCCATAAGTGTACTGAACCTACCTCCTTATTTATTTTATTCTGGTGAATCTATTTTTCCCATGGAAATTGCCAATGCTCAGGACTGCACTGACACTTTTGAAGGAGTACTTACCCCATTTGTGAATGAATTACTTCGTTTGGAAGAAGGTGTCAGAGTTTTCATCGGAGGTGAATTTATAATGTTGAGAGCTACCCTGGTTTCAGTCAAGGGTGATGGAAAAGCTATTCATGAAATGCTTGGTATGTTGACTTGTAGTGCTAGACATTTCTGTCCTCAATGCATGATTTCTAGGCAGGAACTTCATTTGGGTCAAGTGGCTGTGGGAGAGACTCGAACCCCAGCAATGTCTGATGCTCAATTGCAGAGAGTGGCTCAAAACCCTGCCTATAGCACACAGTGCGGTCTGCGATACAGGCCTGTGCTTCATAACAGTGCATATTTTCGGGCTGAGAATAATGGGAACTTTGATTTGATGCATGATGGGCCTGAAGGCGTTATCATGATGCTTATCAGACTGTGCTTGAGGAAATGGATTGTTACTGATGGAATATTCACTGTAGAGCAATTAAATGGCCGGATACTTGCTTTTGATTATGGGCAGCAGAATTCAAAGGATAAGCCAACACCGAACTTCACATTGGAATCCCTTCAAAATGCTGAGACTACATACACACAGAAGATGAATGCTGGTCAAACACTGGTACTCTTTCGTGCTCTACCATTCATCATTGACAACTTGGGTGCTGGTGTTGATGAAGACGATGAGCATCTTCAATATTTACTCCTGCTGTCTGAGATTTTTCAAACAGGAAGTGCACCCAGAATTCCTCAAGGTGTAATTCCCCATCTAAGAAGAATGCTTGAAACCTTCAGAAGGGGGTGGTATGTGTTGTTTCCCAACATTGATCCCATCAACCGTTTCCATCATTTAATGCATCTCTGGGAAAACATAGAACGGAAAGGGCCACAAAGACAGTTTTGGTGCTTTAGGGAGGAAGGTAAAAATTGTCCTGTGAAGAGACATGTAGCTGTTTGCAATAACTTCATTAATCCTCCAAAGACTGCCATGGAACAATGCCAGATCCGTGTGTCCAAAGTTTGGGGTACTCGACATGCGAATGTGAGGGACAACAGAACATATGTAAGAAGAGAAAATGTTTATGTTCTTGCAACACCTGCTAGAGCTCACTTACACGCTTTGGGATTCAGGGACAACGATCAAATCTCAGTCTGCCGAGCAGTGACAGTGTGGGGCTTTAGCTACAGAATTGGAGAGTTCCTGTTGTACAGCAGATCATGTGAGAACAATGATGGACTTCCCCGCTTTGGGAGGATTGTCAGTATTTACTGTCCTGATGGGACTGACTATGTTTGGTTTGCTCTGAAGCCGTGGAGAACTGTTGGATTGGATGACAGGTTCAATGCATATTCTGTTGCTGAGTTTGAGCCCCCTCCTACTCATCTTGTAGATGTAAAGGATCTCCCCATTCACCCTGCAATTAGCAGATGGACTGATTACTCGACTGACCAGTCCTTTCTTTGCCTCAAATACAAGGTGTATTAATGGTTAGTGGCATGAGGTGATTTGTGGGTGAAGGTTGTACTTGGTTGAATTTTATTTTCCTCCAAGTTTTTATCATTATTGTGATGGCCGTTCCCAATGTTTGTTGTGGGTAACTGTGTGTTAATTTATTGTTTCATTTTTGTTACAGATGAAGAGGTGGATGGAGCGTCATTTGTGGAGTTAAATGAACAATCTTTGCTGCTCAATTTCCCGAAACTTAATTTTGGTCAGAGAAAGGCATGTTTAAAGATAATCAATGAAATTTTACTTTCCAAGGATAAATTTATTTTCAACGATACAAGTGTGATGAATTCTGAGTCTGCTGAAAATCCAATTATTATATCAACAGAAGCAGATGGGAACAATACTTTCAAAATAAATCAGGATGTACTTGTCCTACCTTTTGATGAAGACTTGGTAAAAGCAAACTTATTCATCTGTGTAAAATTTGTGTGCTACCTGTTTTTCAAACTTATAATTTCTTTCTTGACCCTCCTTTGTTTCAGGGCTGCTCTATTCTAGGAGCATACGTTTGTCAAGATGGTTCTCTGAAGCCTACCACCTCAAGTGATGAAGCACAGGTGACTCCATGTGTCAGTGCTTCTTTTATATTAAAGAAAAAGAAATCAACTGACAAGAAAGAAAAAAATAAAGAGAAAAGGCAAAAGATTTCTCCAGATGATGTTGTAAGTACCTTGGATTCCTTATTGAGATTAATCTTGTGTCAAAGTGTTGTTACATCCTGATTTTAAAATTATTTTAATACGTTCATTTCTTAGGAGCCTCTGAAAGTAGCTGAATTGTTAGCAAAGACACATGAAGGAGAATCTGTCATTGATTTTATAACAACAAAATCGTTTTGTGATAAGAAACATCAGAAGATAATGATGAAAATAATTTATGATCACTATGTTCATGATAAAGACAGCCCAACAAAATAGTAAGTGTTAAGCAAATTAATAAATGAAAACTGAGCTTGATTTTTCTTTATTTAACTACACTCACATTTTCTTGTCTGGTGGTTAGCTATCCAGCAACTGTTACTAAAATTGCGATGGCAAAAGGAATAGTGACAGATTTTCCAGTTTTAGCTGACATTGGACAGTGCACCTGGGTATGTTTGATCATAATTAAAATTACCTCTCTTCTAAAATGTGTATTTTTATTCATTGGGTTGTTATCTTTTTCAGAACTCTTGGATGGAAGTTGTTAAAACTAAATTTGAAACCGTTCAATCGGGCCTCTCACCTAGCAAAAAGAAAAATTCAAAGGCACCATCAACTGATTCAACCACGAAGAGATCTTCTGCCTCTTCCTCTAAGACTGCTGCTTCAACTTCTAGAGCTTCATCTTCCCATGAAGAATCTGATGAAACTACTGAATCTATTGAAAATCAGGTAAGTGTTAGGGTCGGGATATTGATGTCATTGTTGTCTTTCTGGTTGTGTAATATTTTTCTTCTTGTATTTCAGATAAAAACTATGCAACTCTTACTGCCAAATTCTCAGAATAAGCCATTGATAAGCCTAGCTCTGAATCAGACATTTGCAAGCAGAAGAAGCTGGATCAAGAGGACTCAACCTTCTTTAACCGAAATTCTGCAGCAGTATCCTCACTTGGCCAGCTATGAAGGAGAAATGGTAAAGTCATAATGCAGTACTTTTGTGGTTTTAAATTTTACTTGTATAGCAAAAATTATTATGGTTGGTCTGTTATCTTATCATTTTTTGTTCTGATCAATTGTTTCCTAAACTTCTCCCTATTCAGATATGCGAGGAGTTTGCTCGAATAGAAAAATTTCAAGATGATGGTGTTTTAAAATTTAAACGTGTCGTGCCTTACATATTGGACTATGCCAAGGCTTTAAAACCAGCAATCTTTCTTCAAGTGTCAGAAAGATTTTCCAGTGGTAAGGCCCAGTCTAGACATTTTTTAAATTATTGCGTCATAAATTTATCTTTGCAACATTTACACTCCTTGTTAATCTATGAAGATTCGCATGGTATGGAAGTCAACTTATTTACGATGTATTTATTCCAAATTACTTGCACGGTTTTTGTTCTGCTTTTCAGACACTGTTAAAGCGTTGGTACTTTTGTCTAAAGTGTTGACACCAACACTGAACAGAAACACCGCAACTCCACAGGAATTGGAACATGTGAAAACATTTAAACCAGCAATCATTGAATCCATTCCCAGCAGTGCATTATTTCAGATTGCTCCTGTAAGAGTCAAGTTAACTTGTGACAGGTGAATTTTCCTTACTTGCTGTAAACTGAAATACTATCCTTTTTTCTTTCATTCAGGAAGGAACAGATGTTGATGGCTATGTTTCTGTTGAAACCCACCCTATCCTATCGGAGCAGGATACTCCCATTTTTCCATTTCTCTTGTGGCTTACTAATGATTCAAAAACTGGGCTGGTATACCTAAAAATTGACAGGAAAACCTTTTTGGTAAGCCGCAGCTTGGATGAGGACTGTCTTCTCAATGCATTTGATATATTTATGAAGGCCCATCACGTGTACAATCTGAAATACCATCCCTACCTCAGGCATACAGTGTGTGACTATTTTGAGTTTCTGTATGGCATCAAAACACCTGTGAGCTCAGTGTCTCGATTCATCACTGCTCTCAAGCAAACCAGTCTACGTACTTAAAGCTGTTGTTGCAATGATTTTTGTTAATTGTCTCCTTCTGTGGCTCAACCTTTTGTTACCCCCAATTTAAATGTGATATTTTGACGCCTCCCAATAGAATAATCCTAACTGTCAGTGCTGATCCAAGACAATCCTAACTGCTCAGAGGTTTCAGAGGAGGCTAAAACTGCTCATTACCTCTCTTAAGTCCAAAGCAGCGAATCGTGACATCACAGAATTTTATAAGAAATAGCTTTTTACACGCTGACAGTTAGGATTGTCTTGGAAAAGCAATGACAGTTAGGATTATTCTGTTAGGAGGCGTCGATTCTTAATTGACTCATCCTTGGAAAAGTTACCAAAATTCTTTGTTACCTTTAATTTTTAACTGATTTATGTATATTAACTAGCTGTGAAGTTTGCTGTCAGCAAATTCAATTGGCGTCTTAAATTAGACTCCAAACCAATAATCATTCCAGCTGCCCTGCATTTCGCATGTTATATTTTTAATATTTGTTTCATTACTGTTCCATGCAGCATTATACTCAATTAAACTGCATAGCAACTGGAATTTCTATCAATTGTAGTTGAAACCTTATCTTTAGTAACTGAAGTTGACCTCAGTTGAGTTTTAGTTTTATTCTTAATTGACTCATCCTTGGAAAAGTTATCAAAATTCTTTGTTACCTTTAATTTTTAACTGATTTATGTTTATTAACTAGCTGTGAAGTTTGCTGTCAGCAAATTCAATTGGCGTCTTAAATTAGACTCCAAACCAATAATCATTCCAGCTGCCCTGCATTTCGCATGTTATATTTTTAATATTTGTTTCATTACTGTTCCATGCAGCATTATACTCAATTAAACTGCATAGCAACTGGAATTTCTATCAATTGTAGTTGAAACCTTATCTTTAGTAACTGAAGTTGACCTCAGTTGAGTTTTAGTTTTATTCTTAATTGACTCATCCTTGGAAAAGTTATCAAAATTCTTTGTTACCTTTAATTTTTAACTGATTTATGTATATTAACTAGCTGTGAAGTTTGCTGTCAGCAAATTCAATTGGCGTCTTAAATTAGACTCCAAACCAATAATCATTCCAGCTGCCCTGCATTTCGCATGTTATATTTTTAATATTTGTTTCATTACTGTTCCATGCAGCATTATACTCAATTAAACTGCATAGCAACTGGAATTTCTATCAATTGTAGTTGAAACCTTATCTTTAGTGATGAAATTGACCTCAGTTCAGTTTTAGTTTGATGAGTTTTAATGAATTGTTTTGAAGTGACTAGATAATTCTTAAGCGAATTATTAACTCCCATTATTTGTATGTGTATAGCAAAGATTGCACTGTAAACTCTTATTTTTTGTATCTTATCCAATCTAATTTCATGTAATGAATTAACGTTACCCTCAGGGGGTATATGAATTGCAAAGATATAGTCTTGCAAGATAAGAAAGAACTTCCAAATGGAAATTGAGAAAGTTTATTCGCCTTGTTTTCTGTTCACCCCTACACAGTTTAAGACCATTTCATGCTGCCATACAATCCTAACTCACAGAAAAAGGAGAATGATGAAATGAGAGTCACTAACTCAGTAAAATTCAACTTTAATACTCTTCACAAACAAACAATTTTTTTAAAAAATGAAGCAAGTTGCCTTGTTGAAGCAAGCTGTGCTGAAGCCGAAACGACCATTAGTCTTCCAGCATGGCAGATGTTTCCTCCCGTATCCATTACCTGAAACAGAAGGGTCATGAAAATTAATAAACACAAAGTAAAAGGCATCCAGACAGAACAAAAACATAGAAAAAGAAGTAAGAACTACAAACAAGCTGGTATTATACCAAAGCTGAATGGACCTTTCTAAGGGTAGGATGAAAACGCTGCCATTCTAAACATACCCCTGCACTATAAAAACAATACTCAAAAAATTATTTTGATTATTCAGCACCGATGCATAGCACAAGCAATTCCATTTCCCCCAACAATCGTGTAACAGTTGATTGACAGTGGATTGACAAGAAACATTCTACAGAACAAAAACATTCCATACGAATGACAGTCATCAGCGACTCGCAGGATCCAAATATTTGAAATGGCTCAACCTATCATCAAAATTCTCGGTCTCAAAATGAGACCACTGGTATTACCAATGCTAAAACTATGTCAAACAACCAGAATGCACTCATCAACACACATAAATTAATCATCTTTCTTGACTTCTGAACTAAAAATGATAAGCTGAGTTAATTTAATCAATATTGCACAGCAATTGTTAAAATACAGGAACATTGCATTAGCAATTCAAGAATTGTCAAGTATAGAAAATAAATTGTAAGGATTGGTTGATGCATTCTAAATATTTGGACCTAGGGAGTGAATGACAAATATCAAGTTAGGAGGGAATGCTTTAGCTACATACACTTTTTCACGTCAATGCCCCAATCAACCAATGGAAATGGGATCGCTCTTTGTTCAATCCTATGCAGGGCGAAGAACGGAATTTAGTCTTTCAAATAGGTGGACGTCTAACGCTCTTGTATGTTTGTATCAAGAGTTAAATTCGATGGCAAACAAAAACTGTTTTGGGTGTTCCAACTTCCCTCACCTTCACTCACACTTTGCAGGATGGATGAAAATAAAGAGGTACTCACATCCAACTAGGTCGAAGGGAGATTGAAGCGAGAAACCAGGAACCTGTGCCGCAGGAGTTCGAAGCAGCTTAATGGTGTCAATGGATATCAATTCAGCCCTGAAACAAATAAACCATTCATCACAATATGTTAGGCACACACAAACATACAACACAAAGCAATGAAACAAGTAATCGGTGAAATGCTGTGTACATATGACAGCTCAGCAAACTATGTTCAAAGCAACAAGTCAAATGTGAAAACAAGGAAATGGAGTGATAGCCAGGCATTCGCATTTCCCAAACAAAATCGCATCCAAAGACTAACACTAATGTTTGCAAAGGATTGAGGCTACTGAGGGCAACTCCTGGCGTTCACAACAGATATTTATGATCAAACTATGGGGCTGAGCTTTAACTTTCCGAAAATCCTTTTGAACGTTTTGAATCTATTCGGACACACTACTGCATAGAAATGCCGTGGCAGAAGGCAAAACATCAAAGAGACAACTTCAAGTGAGAGGTTAGGAGGTTAGGCTACAGCCAAAGATGAAAAGTTTAAACCAAAGCAAGCGTTATTCCTTTACGACCAGAACGCAGTTCGGAACGCGAAGAACGAAGTCAGTAAAAGCGGTAAAGAAAACGTGCGAACAAATTCAATCAAGTGAAAAAAGTACTAAAACAGTCGGCACTGCACTGGCGCCGAGACGCACCGTTGTCGTTGTCCACTACACTGGTTGGTTGCCGCCGCCGCCGCGCAAAGCTTGACACTGCTGCGCGTTTCCGGGCATTCCACCTGAGTCGTGTTCGACACTCGGCAGATTACCTGTGTTGTTCACAAACACAATCCATAGCGGAGAAACAAGATCTTTTTTTTTTTCTTTTTTTTACCTTCTTTTTCTAAGGCAACCGCTTACTTGCTACGAGACGCGTTAATTTACACTAGAGGCACATTTGACACATTTTTCATCCAACACCTATTACCCCCCCCCCCCCCCCCCGCACCATAACCCCTGTTGCCAGGAGGGTAGGCCATCCCGTGACACTAGCGTGCCGTGCGGGCTGCCTGGTCTGCTTCCACAGGCGCTCAGAAGCGCCCAGGACGCCGGCTGAGATATTCCCAGGAGCCTTCCTGGGAACGCAATTTTTTTCCCAGGAGCCGCCTGGAAGACGCAGACTCGCGTCGCGACCTCCAGGCGGCTCCTGGGAAATGTTTGGGATTCCCAGGAGGCTCCTGGGACCGAGCTGGGGTAACCCAGGAGCCCTCCTGGAAAAAGTCACCAGCTCCTGGAAATTTCAAAAAGTTCCTGGGAAAACCAGGTTCCGTTTTCACCGTGTATGTTCCCTGACCTATTATGAATCTAAATCAGCAAGGACGTCCCATTTACCTCGTAATAGCTTTACGGTGGCAATTTGAAAAACAAACGATTTTTCGGCTCGTTGGATGGGCGCTTTTTTCGCGACTTTTTGAAGGGCCTTCCTTTGAAGCCTGATAGGAGCTGTTACAGTCGTCGCTCGGACATACACGCTATTTGGGGAGACAAAGGAAGGTTGGAGAAAGGTCTACCGCGAAATTCAAATCGATTCAATCTCCGTCGGGGTTGCGGTGACCCGTCGAAAAAAATGACCCACAATTGATTCGTGACCCACAATTGATTTTTTACCTTAATGACTTTTTTCTCTCCATTGTTGACTTTTTATCCTGATACATTAATTTTTTTAAGCACCATTAATACGTTGTATTTCCCTTGTAACCATGTACAAGATTGTACACTATAAAGACTAAATTTTCATCAATAATTGACAACTTTTTAGGACAACTGCGTATAGACTCTTTCAATAGCAAACTGAGTTCAAGTCAATATAACGAACAAAATCTTACAGAGACACTGAGGAAATAGTACTTTATATTGCTGTGTAAAATACTCTTTACCAAAAGATAAAGTCAAGAACAGTCTGAGAGTGTGTACATGAGCATGGACGTATTTGTTCAAGTGGAAGTTATTTGATATTTGTCCGTAAATTAAGTACAATTCTATAAACACTTAAGCACAACTTGGAAATAATCTACTTCATGTACTAAATTGTACATAAACTACAAAATAAAAGGTTTCCTCTTGCGCTGTGGGAGTTTATTTGGAAGCAGACATTAACATGAATGTATGCTTTCAAATGTGTGAGATAAATATATGCTTCTCCACGTACATAGCTATAGATGCATGCTTGCCCAAGCGTGCCACAGCTATGTACTAAGCACACATATGCTCTTGCAGTGTAGCTGACTTCTGTACGAATTAGTCGAAACCTCTCCGGGCCTCAAGTCAGCAGAGGACCAATTCTGGTCTATCTCATCATGTTTATGTTAAACCAAGGGTGGAGACCTCCACACTTCCTGGTTCGGAGTAACTCCTTGGAAGTGCAGAGTTCGCGGTCTCCGCATTTCAAGTGTGGAGCAGCTCACAGGAAGCCCCTATCACTTTGCATGGTGCAAACGCGGACAACTCCACAGTTGAAGTGCGTACTCCGCACATCCAAGTGTAGAGACTGCAAATTCTGCACTTCCACATTCCAAGTGTGGTGTTTTCCGCACTTGGCTTCGGCTTCACGGTCAACAATAAAAGCACTAATACATTCAGTGTGTAAGCCATAAGTCAAACTACGAGAGCCACGACTCTTTGACAGGCAAGGTGGGTTTCGGCACTGGGCCGCGCTTTTGGCGAGCGGCTGACTCCTCGTCACCGCAGGACATCGCACTCGCAGAAAAGAACAACGAAGTTGACGGCATCGCCCTGTCCGTCGACCCTTTGGTCTTCGGCGACTTCCCCGAGTCTGCCAAGACGGCCAGGAACCTTGCCTTCACAGACGAGGAGAAGAAGCTCATTAAAGGTACGATCAAACGTAGGACAGTGTTGCAGCAAGCAAGTGATCATACTCAAAAGATCTTTTGTCGTTTCTGCACTGAAAATTTGTTTTGTGGTTCAGGTTCCTACACATGCATATGAAACAATTCACATGTATAGGAATATTTCCACACTCCTGTATGGCAATTTTCTTATACATCGGTATAGCATTGACTGTACGAGGCGTAGGCGTCGATTGGAAAAAAAGGGGGGGAGGGAGGGAGTGGAAGTTAAACAATAAAATTCCGATCACTTTTTACAGTGCTTGTGAAGAATCTTATCTGAAACACCAGTAAATTTCGCTGGGATTTTGCGATTTATTTTAAACTGTGAACGTAACCTCTTTTTATTGAATTTGTCTGGGTCTATTTTAACAGGACGTGTTGACTACTTGGGCATCAATATGTACGGTGGCCAGACTGCCAATGCCTCCAGTGCCGATAACGGTGGTGGTGGCGGCGGCGGCGATGGCGGCGGGAGCGGAGGGGGCGGTGGGAACCGCCCGGACGGCTTTGGTGACACTGTAAGTCGTACACTGTAACGCATTCCATACTTCGCTGCGGAAACAGACGAAAGAGTGTGGAAGCACGGATAGAGTACGGAACGTCCGTACCTGTTGCATATTGATCCAGGAAGCGGAAGAAGGGAATGGTTCGATTTATCTTCAAATAGAGATTTTATCTAAGAATTATAGTGCCATAGAATGGTTTGCATTATAACACCAAATTATTTGGCTCAATTCCTGTACCTGAGTTTTCCTTATTTTTATTTATTTATGCTATTATTTTTTATATCATTGTTAAATCGAATTATATTGATGTTTTCCAAAAAAAAAAAATTTCCTATAGTTTTAAATCAACATGGAAAATTGATAGAATTCAACTCGACCCATTCTACGATCTAAATTTCATCGGAAAACGGAGGTAACTCAACCGAAGTCCAACTCCGTGGCACAAAATAGCATAAGAAGTCAACTTGATGAATCCACTCTAAAAAAAAGAATGAACTCAATTTGACTCCCTTTATTTTAGAAAACTAGTTAGAAAAAGATGCAACTCCAAAAATGTACCATAGGAATATGTATTTATAGACACTACGCAGATCTCAGCACCACTTGAATTGCCTCCAAATTCCACCTTCGTCTGGAAGAAATAAGTAAACATGGTTCCGTAGTCCATCCTAACGTAACACTACTGAAAAATTTCAGCGTGCTCTGAGGCGTTTTGTTTACAAGCATGCAATTGCGTCATTCATCTGATTGGATTTGGTTTACCTTGCAAACAGTTCATTGTTTCTCCTAAAAAATGATGAAAATTGAGTTATGCTCTTCTTCCGCTTCATGGATCATATGAACTCAAGCGGGTGCGGCAAACAAGCACGGAAGTTCCGTAGTTGGCGAGGGTGGACGGTCCAGGCAAACTGTTGACTAGATTTGTTAGGGTTTCTCCCAGTGTACCATCGTGAGTCCCTGTCATTGAGGTAGCGAAGATCCACAATGATAAACGCCAGTTTTGTCTCGTCATCCACACGGTGCCTCTGCATGTAGAGCAATGTCTGAGTTCGAACAAGCTACGGCCCACCCTTTCGAGGAATAAAGTTGTCTGCTCCGAAGGATGCAGGAGGCCCACCCTTCTTTTCGCAATGTACACTTTCCAAACTGACCAGCCTCAGACCCATATGGGCTTTTTTCTTTTGCTTATTAAGTTTTTTAAGCAGACGTAACATTTTCTGCGTAACTGTGCACAGTTTTGATCGCTTTGAAGATTAAATTGTCACTAGATCAAGGAATTAAAGCGTACATTGCAAATGACAAAAAGTTGGTTCAATTGACTAGATACCCAATAAAATGAACAAAATCGGGCAAAGTTTAAAAGAAAATAGTACATAATACGTTAGCACAAAAATCTTTCTGGTACAGTAAGAGATAAAAAGTCAATACGAGGCTGAGAGTGACGAAGGTGGGCTCGTCGAACCCAATTACGACCCCCTGCACTGTGGCAAAAAGGTACGGAAAATTCTGTTAATTTTTTTGCCAGGATTCTCTGTAGCCCTCTTATCAATATTCTCCGTAGGATCTTACAGTATTCTCCGTAGGGCCGCACAGTATTCTCTGTAAGTCCGCACAGTCTTCTCCGTAGGACCTGGAAGACTGTATAGTCCTACGGAGAATACTATAAGAGCCTACGGAGAATAAGTGGGCTACGGAGAATTACCACAAGCTGTTTACAGAATTTTCCGTAGCTTTTTGCCACAGTGATGTTGTGCATTTCTTGCTGCGGGAAAGAATTTTTTTCTGCTTTTCTTTTATAAGAATACTCTTTTTGATACTTGTATTTTTCTTGTGAAGAACTAAATCTTGTATCAATTTTTTTTTGGCAAATTTAAGAAACCAAGACGTTAAGTAACCTGGTGTCAGTCTCCGATCGACTTAACTGACCAGTGTCTGTGCTCTGCAGAGTTCCGCGTGGGTTCTCCGTGAGATGCCTAAGTGGGTAAAGAATCGCTACGACGCCGTGATGCAACTCCCCATTTTCATCACTGAGAACGGCATCCACGCGGAGGGTGACTCCAAGTTGGACGACTGGGACATGCGCGCCGTGTACTGCAGCGTAAGTATTGTTGGGGGGCATACAGGACATGAGCCCCGTCCCGTTTGAGCCCCGATGGTCTGAGCCCCGACCTGAGCCCCAACCTGAGCCCGGGTTGAGCCCCGACTTGAGTCCCGACCCAAGCCCCAATTTTCAGAGCCCGGATTGAGCCCCGACCTGAGCCCCGTTTGAGCCCCATTTGAGCCCCGCGACCTGAAATCACGCATTTTTGCATGATTTATTGCCACGGGGCTCAAATGGGGCTCAAACGGGGCTAACGGGGCTCAATCCGGGCTCTGAAAATTGGGGCTTGGGTCGGGACTCAAGTCGGGGCTCAACCCGGGCTCAGGTTGGGGCTCAGGTCGGGGCTCAGACCATCGGGGCTCAAACGGGACGGGGCTCATGTCCTGTAGGGTGAACTTTACAGTTACCGTCAGTTTAAGAGCATCGCTTTCTTTTCAAGGGCCTCTAGGGTAGGTTATGACACTTAGGCCCGTGCGACTTGTTCCAGACACCTCAGAAGGATCTAGACAACGAAGTGGCTGACAAAGATTTCACCAAAAACTTTTTGTGACGCTCTTATTTAACCTGAGAAAAAGGTTACCAAAAACACAGTTATCGGCAGCCAAAATACAGTTATCGGCACCATTTATGACAGTTATCGGCACCCCTTGTTAAAAAGGCAAAACATGACCGAAAGTGACGAAAATTTCTATCAGTCGTCACAGACACTCTATATCACCCCTCGACATGTCACGAACCCGCTCTCCCTTCTGTTACGCCTCTTACTCCCTTCATTTTAGACTCACGGACAACTAGCACCATGAGCTGCGAAAAAAAAACCTTTTAAAGCGCCGAGGAGGACATTTCGTAAATCACGTAGATCACTGGGAAATAGTGGTCCGATTTCATTCAAATTTGGCAGGGGCCTCACTGTCAAAAAAATTAAGTGCAATCGACCAATTGGTTTTGGTCATTCGAACTAAAACTAATTCTTAGTCGAGTCAACTAAAATTTAGTTGAGTGTAGTCGCTGCCCACCCTGCGAGGTCCGTCAAGATGCTGCGCTCGGCCAGACAGCCTCCATCAAGTCGGTGGCGCAGTGGTTAGCGTTGTTGCACGACGTGCCAGGGTATGCGTGTTCGACACCCGCCAGAGGCTCCGATTTTTCGACTCTTTAATTAAGTGTCAGTGCCTCTGGGACGCTGACGTCACATTTAGAAGGAGGTCGTGTGGTCACGTGATTCTCTCCAACCAATAGAAGAGGAGGCAGTTCTTAGTAATCTCAAAAGGATCTCGAGGAGATCGAATCAACTAAAACTGAGAAAATCGTCATCAAGTCTCCAAATGGTGTGACGTCACCGCTGCTTACATCACAAGAGCGGACTAAAGGGAACTGACTAAATATTTTGGTCAAAATTTCGACTAAGTTTTGTTTGATTCGACTAATATTTGGTCGTTTTTATCGTCCACTCATGCTCGATTGGCGTGTTCTTAATTCTACTAATTCTTAGTCGCCCTGAAAAACGACTAAATTTCTTAGTACAATCCACTAAATTTTAGTCGATTAAACTTTATTTTTTTGACAGTGCTTCCTACGGTCATAATGCATCAGAATATTAGCTCCCGGACGGCGCCCGGAACACCAGTGAAGTTTGAGGCCACTCTGACGATAACTGAGTTTGGGGTGATTTCTCTGGTGCAGTTATCGGCATCCCCCGAATGAGGGCAAGCAGGAGGAATTTCTATGCACCAAGCACAGTATGCCCTATTCAATAGATGTGGAGAAGGAACCTGGCAAGGAGAATAGTTTTTTCCGGCCCACTTTCACGAATTTAACGAAAGATTGAATCCCTGTTCCTAGCATAGAAGATAAGAACGGGCGGCCGAAGCGGTTTCATTCTGCACTTGACAAGAAACGTGGCTCTATTGGCTGACATGCTGAATCAAACGCGATGCTGTCTCGGTCCTGCACGCTCAAAAGGTGTCTCTAGCGACCTGCATTGGCCGCATCACTAACGGACGCCTACTTGCAGAGCAGGACCCATTATTCGCCGAGATGACGATAACTGTACCCCTGCCGATAACTGTATAGTTTACCCTATGCCTGTTGGGGGCATCACTGAAAATTTGTTGTCTCGTGGATGGTATTTTCATCACTTTCAATGATGACAATGACAATCTCATTCAAAATTGATGACATTTTCATTAAGCTTCTATACTTATTGCCAGGGGGCGGCAACGGCCTAGGAAGCGCGTGAAGCCATGCGCGAGGAGGGTGCAGGGGTTTCTTATTTTTCTTCGATTGGAAGATATAGCCCGTTGATTGCAAAACGCTTTGAGCGGATCAAAAGAGCACAAAATTTAAGGTGCATTAGGCCTAGTGGACTGCCCGATACTTCCAATTCAACCGAACACAAGGGCGGAATCATTTACATCAACATGGCGCATTCGAGTTTATCCTGAATTTTATGATTTCTCGTGTTTTTCGGTGTTTTCACTGCACTAATATAAAGTCAGAGGGGGGTTTCGAGAAGAGGAATTAGCCTAATACACCCTAAATTTCAAGCCCTTTCCATCGGTGCAAAGTGTTTTGTAAAACACTGTCTAGCTTTCATGATCTCGAACAAGTGCGCAACCTCTGCACTGACGGCGCGAGCATCGCTTCACGCTCTCCCTAGGCCGTTGCCACCCCCTGTTATTGCATAGGTCATCAATTGTTTTGATGACATCCTTGGAAGGAAAATAAGCCTTGAAGTCATCAAGTGACGACTCAAATTTTCAGTGATGGGGAAAGCTCCTGTTGGAAAACACCCGGGAGTACCTCACACTCACTGCTTCCCCTAAGCCACGGCATGTTCCCCGCACTCCATTCATTGCATGGAACTAATTTTATTCGAAATCGTTAGAGGTCATGCGAATGCATCCAGATCTACCGAAATTCCATATGAAATGACCCGACTTCGTGTACTTAATCGCGGTTTTCATGTTGCACAGGCCTTTTTACGAAAGATGATAGCGGGAATCAACGATGACGGAACCCGAGTTTTCGGCTATACTTTATGGAGCTTCATCGACACCTTCGAATTTCACAGCTACTCGTAAGTCCGAACCGCTGTCGAACCTGCTCGTGATTGTGCCGTGCACTCTCAGCACGTTACTGCCTTTTTCCTCATTAAACGGGGTGAAATAAAAAAAAATGTTTTCGGTTTTGTTTTTTTTTACTCTTTGGGCCTTGATAAACCAAACCTGCCCATATTTGAAAGACCGTCAAATGGCATGGGACTTAAATCATGTGAGGAGGTTCCCTTAATTTAAACCGTTTTTCCCCTTTTTTTTGGACCTTGCCCGGGTTTAACTAAAAGGAGAAGTTGGATATTTAAAATTCGTTTCAAAAGTAGAAAAAAGGGGAGATTTTTGTAAAGATTTTTAATTTTTTTATTAAGCAATTAAAAAGCGGCTAAAACTCATGATTCTAGTTTTAAAGTTTAAACCGAAAGAAAACGTTTTTAAATCCGGCCCCTTTCCTTCATTTTGCCCAAAAAAAGTGTTAAACTTCTCAGATTTTTCGGACAAAGGGATTTAAATCCTCCCAAAGGAAAAAAACCCAAATATCCCAAAATTTGGCAAAATTAAAACGGCCCCCAGTCGAAAGGTGGTGTGGTAAAAAATAAAATCCAATTCATTCCTTTTTCATTCAGGGGACCAAATTAAGAAAAGCGGCTGGCTGAAAAAATACAAATTTCATTTCCGGGCCCCTTAAATATTTCCCATTCCCCTTTTTCCCATCTTTTTAGGATTTTTTAGATGCCCTTTTTTAAGACCTAAATTTTTCCAAAAATAAAACGGCCCCCAATTACAAATTTTGGGAAAAAGGTGTCGCACAAAATGACAATTATCGCCCTCTCCATTTACCTTCCTGCGGAGCCTTCCCAACCCCCTTTTATTTGGGGAACAATCCCTAAAATCAGAGGATCGGATGGCAAAGGGGCCTTCCTTTTATTGGTGCTTAATTTCCCACAGGAACTGGGGCGTGGTCTATGTGGACTATGACAGCGGCTCCCTGGACCGCACCAAGAAGGCCTCGTGGACGTTCTTCAGGAGAGTCATGGACTCTCGCGTCGTGCCTCTTGTGGAAGCCGGCTCCACGCCTTTCCCGGCCCCGTCCGGCTCTGCGGCCTTCCAGTGTTCCATTTTGTTAACCTTTACTGCATTCCTGTTTGCGAGACGATGGCAATAAATCAAAATACTAGAAAGAATCTTTTTTTCTTTATTTTAGGAATGTCAACCCTGCGCACTTACCAGTGTAGTCACGAGTGCCCATGATTAAAATGTACTCACGGGTGCTAGACTGTCCCACGAAAAATTCGATGTTTGAAAATGCAACCTCTCACCCCGGACTTAAGTTCTTCATGTAAAAAAAGGACTCCATGATTTTTTTTCAGAATTTTTGAACAGAATTTAGAGGTCGCGCATCGGCAAAAACACGTTTTTTGCCATTTTTCTCGAGTTTTTAAAAATGCCCTGCCACCACACCACACCCAGCCCCACCCCCTCCCCTTAGTTGGACTTCTAGTGACCCCGTGACGTCGTTCTGTTGACACCCGTCCCTCCTGAGCCCATATAGACCCTCAAATGGACACCCAAAACGATAAAAGTAAGTCGAAAATTTCATAAAAAGCTGCAAAAGTTGTGCAAATGTTGTGTTTTTTGATAATCTGACATCGTAGAACGATAGAGCGTGAAAAATTACGTAGGGGTGAAGACAAGTGAGCACGCCACACAGTCAGTTTCGGTTACATAAGCGCGAGCGAAATAGAACGCCCCCGATTTATTGTGTGGAATGATGGCGTCCCGACGGAAGAAGAGGGTGCACTGGCTTGTAGGTGCTGGCTTGTAGCTTCATGATGAGCTACGTCAAACAGAGCCTAGCTGGTCTATGAATGACTGTTTCCTTAGCTCGAAGGTAGGTGAGCCTGCACCCTCGTCTTCCGTCGGGACGCCATCAATTCACACAATAAATCCCAAAACACAAACGACGATTCAAAACAACGCTCGCTAGGCGGTTCGTTTCGTGTGCGCGGCAAAGCGCGCGAAAAGGCGGCGATGTGGTTCCCTTGACTACACTGAGAATGAATTGGTCACCACCATCACCCTTTAAATGAGTGATGCAACTTCGTTGCCCAAATTTTGGTGACGAAAAATTCATCCCCCGAAATTTGGTAACAGGGGTTTGGTCGCCCAATTGGGTAACGCCGTCGGCGACGCCGTGAGGTTCCCCATGACGTCCCTTTCCCGGGGGCCCCCAGGATGACCGGAGGCCTCAACGCCACATTGGGTCATCGTGGTGGCCCCCGGGAAAAGCGTCATCGGGGGCCTTACGGCGTCGCCGACGACGTTACCCAAAATTTTGGGGGACGATTTTATGACTGCCCAAAATTTGGTCACCGCTGGCTCGTCACCCAAATTTGGGCAACGGTGCGTGCGTTACCCAATGAAAGGGCGATGGTGGTGACTCTATCATTCTCAGTGATACCGACAGGTGGCACCACCAGCGACCCGCACCATATATTTGTAATTTTAATACATGCAGAGCTTTTATTTCGACAAATTTCATATAAAACAATCATCAGATGATTCTTGACATCCCACAAAAGGAATAAAAGCCCCACACTTCAAGTTTTGCACAGGTCATGTATGAATTCGTGGGGGCGTTCTATTTCGCTCGCGCTTATGTAACCGAAACTGACCGTGTGGCGTGCTCATTTGTCTTCACCCCTACGTAATTTTTCACGCTCTATCGTTCTGTGATGTCAGATTATAAAAAAACACAACATTTGCACAACTTTTGCAGCTTTTATGAAATTTTTTGACTTATTTTTATCGTTTTGGGTGCCGATTTGAGGGTCTAGATGGGCTCAGGAGGGACGGGTGTCCTACAGACCGACGTCACGGGGTCACTAGAAGTCCAACTAAGGGGAGGGGGTGGGGCTGGGTGTGGTGTGGTGGTAGGGCATTTTTAAAAACTCGAGAAAACGTGTTTTTGCCGATGCGCGACCTCTAAATTCTGTTCATAAATTCTGAAAAAAATCATGGAGTCCTTTTTAGGCACGAAGTAGCCTTATAGTATACCCAGGATTCAGCCGGCCCGAGATTCAATTTGTGTGGCCCTTTATGCATTTCGGAAAGTTTCTATACGATTTTTATGAGACTTTGCAGACTTGTAGAACTTAGAACGCTGATTCTCATGCTGAAATCTGGTTAAAAAGTTGGTGGCCAATTTTGAGAAATTTGCTGTCAAAATCGCCGTTTCCATGGCAAAACTCGACTCGTCAAAGGAAAAAAAAGGGAGTGGGGGGAGCCGAGCCGGGGCGGACCAATAGCCGAGCTTCTTTTTGGGTCTGTACAGCTTACTCCAAAAGCTGAAATCAGCACGTTCGAAATGAAAAATTTCTTTGACTGCAGGTAGACAAGATGCAACAATAGAATTGGTGTCGGTTCGAACGCAGTTTTTCGGGTAGAACTATCCAATAATACTTCTTGATTGGAGTGTTTTTGGACATGCGCAGTAGGTTTGCAACCTGTTAACAGTTTAACCAACTGTAGCATTTGAAACCTGTATTAATTATGCTCTCTTTCTTGTTTTTTCTTTGTTTCCTGCTTATGAAAATTCATATAAAACAAATTTTCAATTTTTGTGTGATGACTTTCTAAAAACATATTCACAGAAAATTAGCAAAACAAAAGTTCTTTTTTTCTGGCATACAGTTTCTCAAATATTCCTTTTTTTTTCTGTCAATAAAACAATTTTGTTGTTGTTGTGATTCAGTTAGCACTAGGACCACTTCGCTCCACCTCGCGACTTGCAGTGCTCATGTTCCTCGAACAAGACTCACACGCGTTTCGAAACCATCCCTCCCGAGTTTATGGAGTTTGTCAAACCAACCGTCGTGGTGTTGATACGTTGTAAGGGAGAACTATTACACGGAATTGAAGAAAACATGACTAGAGAACCATAGCCTTTTGAAACGAGCCAAACAATTCAACGTCAGCAACAATGGATGGGCAGTTTTAATGCGCGACTGCTGGTGCTTTCAGCTTCGCGATTTTCGCAAGGGCGCAGACGCCGAGAAACTAGTTGCCAACCCTTGAAAATTAATTTACTGCCTTCTTTCTGCCAAGAACATTTTAATAATGATGGACTTTAAAGATGTTCCATTGTCAGAACACTGTGGAATACATTAGCATTGGAATTTTTTGAATTTACCAGCATTTTGATTTCTATTTTGTCAAGTTTAAATTTCGACGGGTGGCACATCGACCACATTGGTACCACTGCCATTGGTAGTCCCCTGAGCCACAACTTCACAACACCACTTCTTTTCTTTCTCCACACTCTTACACAATAATCAAATTGACTTCGTGACTCCTAGGATTTCTTGAAATCGTATTTTTTTACATAAGGAACTTAAGTCCGGGGTGAGAGGTTGCATCTTCAAACATCGAATTTTTCGTGGGACAGTCTAACGGGCAAGGTTCTTCTTAGGTTGTGGTCTGGGTGTTTGTCGCATCCTTATACATGTGGTGAGGGTCATTTGGATTCAACATGTCTCTAATCTGATGCGACATTTCATATGATAAGTAACTCTTATTACCTTTTTGCAGTGGACTCAAATGCAGTTTGGGTGTTAGCTCTCTTGTTTCTCTGTTACAGACTCAACAATGGAATTGGAGCACGCCGGAGGCAGGAGGGCGAGGAGGGGGCAACCCCATCGCCGGATGGTGAACAACCACTTTCATGACGAGATATATAGTATTTGGACGAAATTGGGTGACGTTAAAGAGGAATTGGAAGAAGGGAAGAAGGAGCGGGAGGAAATGAAGAAGGAGATGGAGAAAATGAAGAAGGAGTTGGAGGCGGGGCAGAGCGAGAGGAGGGAGTTGAAGGAGGAGGTGAAGTTGCTGAGAAGTGCGGAGAAGAAGAGGAACACTGTAAAAAATGTTCGGGATTTTCCTATACAATGGTATGAGAAAATTCCTATACATGTATAGGAAATTCGGATACATGTATAGGAGTTTCCCAAACTGCATAGGATTTTTGCCATATCTGCCGAAAATGTATAGGAATTTTCCGAACTGTATAGGATTTTTGCCATACTGGCCGAAAATGTGTAGGAATTTTCCGAACTGTATAGGATTTTTGCCATACCCGCCGAAAATGTATAGGAAATGTATAGCACGGCAAGCGGAGCGCCTGGCATACGATCATGTGTGGTCTAGCCCCAATGGTAATGGTAATGCTGGGCTCAGTGTAGGCAGGCCCGGAGCGTAGGACTGTCCGTCGGATGGCCTACCTAGCAGGCGGGCGAGCTGGCCGTGGCCGGGTCGCTGCTGTTCGAATGGACCGCGGGCGGCCAGTCTTCGCGCCGTCTGCGCCGACAGTCCCCCCTCCCCCCTCTTCTCTTCCCCTCCAGCGCCCTGTCGTGGGTGAACGAGTTGAACGTAGTTCAAGGTCAGCCGTCAGCTGTGAAGCCCGCTCCAGCTCCAGCCCGCTCGTCCACTGCTACGACGACCAGCCACTTCGCTCTCCCACTGAATTAGCGACCTTGAGTCGTGTTGGTGAGTGTCGGTGGGAAATTTATTTTCTGTCCTAATGGTTCGAAGGTCATGGTGGTTCATAAACAAACCCTTGGAACACCCCTTTAACTCTTATCACGGTACCATGCCATTGTTTGGAATTGACTTTCAGTGGCTCCAACACTGTCGTGATTTAGTTTTGTAACCCCACACTGGTAGGCAACGAATGTGACATCACATTCGTTTCAACGTGAAAACTACGATGTCAGATTGAACGTGACAAACAGAGAAAATTCATACTCAAACGAATGTGACACGCCGCACCGCTTTGTCACATTACTTCAGGTGTGACACGAAATCAGTAGGGAAACTGTCACATTAAAACGAATGTGACACATGGTACCCATTGACATACATCGTGTCACATCCAAACGAATGTGACACCCATATGCTGTCACGTTCGTTTGGATGTGACAAGTCACATTCAAACGAACGTGACACGCCCCGGACACGCCATAAGAGTCAGGTTATGGCGTGTCACGTTCAATTGAATGTGACAATTCGGGCATGTCACATTCAAACGAACGTGACAGCATATGGGTGTCACATTCGTTTGGATGTGACACGATGTATGTCAATGGGTACCATGTGTCACATTCGTTTTAATGTGACAGTTTGC